AGGTCATATATTTAGGTCAATAATTTTACACATTTGACATTATATTCATAATCAACAAACCAAAAACGTCCTTATTTTGTATTCAATTTTATTTCTTATGCATTTTTGTTACACTTGTTGATGATAGGAACATTAAAAAGAACACGCTAATAAAACGCTATAAACTGCCCGTGAAATTCAAAGTGCATAAAAATGAAAAAATATGACCTAAATATTTTTTGTACTTCTACATTTGTGCCAAACTAGAAAGAAATCGAAGTGTAATTTTTGAGTAGGTTTACTTGTGAGTGATCGCTCCTCTTAGCCGTAGAATAATATCCTTTTGTGTGGGACTTTTATTGTTACGAGATATAAAATCTTTGTTTGAATTATTTGTCAAATCCGTGCGTATATTTCACGTCACAGAGGAAAAATATTTGTTGCTGTTATAATTATAGGTCTCGTGTTATGAAGCAATTGAAATTAATTAAAAATTTATATGGACCCGTGCGCATTTGCATTTTGTTGTGATTCTAATTTCACCGACGCTGAACTTATTTTACTGTCTGTGATATCAGCGATAATATTTCGCGCAGACCTGCATAATTAATTTCCCGCATAATCAGCATTAGCCGAATCGGATGTGCACGGTGTGTATAAAATGAGGCGCCTGTATCGCGCGCGCGGCCCGAAATGATATCATGCAAATTGTTTTATGAATTCCTTGATCGACACGGAAACTCGGGCAAGCGTACAATTATGCAATCAAAACTTCGTCGCGAAAGTTCCGCGGTTCGCGGAACAAGGCGCATTCTTTGCCCTCCTCCCTCTTTTTCCTTCTGCTTCTTCTTCTTCTTTCCCTTTACTTATCTCGAGCCAGTTCACCTCTGCACACTTTATCGTCATGCGCGTCATGCGTGACGAACGTAATAAAACGCGCGCGCGTGCGCGCGTCGCGAACATTACGTCGCAATAAAAATTTTCGACGGCGTAAATCTGCAAAATGCCCCCGCGAGTGCGAAGGGACCGACCCAGTTTCGCCGGCGGATTTAGAAATATAACTTTCATCGCCAGGGCGACTGGCAATTTCCGCTTTGTTTTATCACTCGGAGAGTAGTGGGACCGAAAGCAGTGGTTGAATCGTCGTTAAGATTGCATCAGTCGGAAAAAGCGCGATTAATCAGCCGTGAGGTACAGCGCTAAGCTTACTGATAATTATCAAAGCGAAGAAAGCGCGTTTTCTTGTCATACAATCATTACAAATGTAAGCTTTCACTGTCGCCATTAATTCTGTTTTTAGTGTTTCGCCCACGCGTCGTGGCATGATTAATGCGGCCGGGCGCATCGAAGGCTTCCGAGTGGTTCGAATTTATCGGTAGTCAATTCATCAAATCATTCAGTCGTCGTTATCAAATCGTTTCTGCCCGATACTTTCCTATAATTTGCTCACTGTTGTTGTTTCCCGTAAATCGCGTTCTATTTGCTCTCTTGAAGCGAATCAGTAAGATTATGCCCGATTGCGTCGGCAAAGGGAGCGCTTCGTCGATAATCATCGGTGAGTATTTCACTGATTCTCCGTGGAAACACACGCACTCTACAGCTCCGTCCGATATCTCACTGATTTCGCTCAGTGGCAGCGAGATCTCGCTGCGAAATCCAACTTTTTGCGTTCGCGTTTCCATGCAATTTACGTGCGATAGCACTCTGTCTGCCTTTGCAAGCTGCATCAACGACGGCAACAACACTCGCTACTGTTAACTGATTTTTTCGGCTGTCAAGCTTGTGAATCTTGTTGATTGCAGTGCTATACTTATAATTGAATCATTAGTTAGCATTTCGGTGAGGAACAGCACTGATTGTGCTTTAGAGAGTAGCTATAACGTACATCCATTATATGTCTATATTTTTTTACGTAAACCACACAATTTATCGTAGATCAAAAGTTCAAAAGCGCATCTAAAATTGACCATATCGGAAATGTTAAATACGACGGCCTATACGCGACGGCCAATATTGTGGGCGAGAAATTATGCTGAACTTTTTCGAACAACATTATACGTCCAAAACTTGAGCCTGTTTACCGCTTCAGATAGCCGGCAGCGAATTTTCGGCCGAGCAAACAGCGTTATTTCTGTTGTAATACTCTATAAAACTCCAGCGGGTGTATTATATGGAAGTTTATTACCACATCTACATATACGTGCGCGTGTAAGCCGCGAAGCGTTTCCACCGAGTGCCCTCCGAATTTAATTCGCGCGTACGGTCAATATCCGATATATTTCAAGACGGTAACTCTTCGCCAACATGACGAGGAATGAGAACAATTGATTCTGCCCAACACACGGAGAAAATATGTTGCAGTAAAAACTATCGAATCTTGGACCGCGTGCGCAGAAATTATGACCGAAACAATTAGACATTTGTACAAAAATG